CTCACTCAGTCTGGTCAGCTATCCTTGTGGGGACTCTCCATAGGCGTAATGGTTTTTCTACTGTACAGACCGTATATTCTATTGCCCTACACCAACCCTACCCCTAAACCTACGCCTTACAGGAAACTTTGTGCTATTTCAGATTTTCAATACACCCCATTCTGTGTGATTTATATGCGTTTTGAAAAGTGGGGACATGGGGTAATGTCCTGAAAAGTCACCTTCTCCTTGTAATACCTATGTCATACCCTTGTCATTATACAAATTTATGTCCTCATTTGTCACAAAAATGCGCACGCACACACACACACACACACATGTTTGGTCAGCTATCCTTGTGGGGACTCTCCATAGGCATAATGGTTTTTCTACTGTACAGACCGTATATTCTACCAACCCTACACCTAAACCTACCCCTCACAGGAAACTTTCTGCATTTTTAGATTTTCAAAAGACTTAATTCTGTATGATTATTTATAAGCTTTTGTACCCGTGGGGACCACAATTTAGGTCCCCACCGTGACACGAGTCCCCATGAGTCTGTGTGTAGTCAGGTTTAAGTCCCCACCAGGATATATAAACCTGTACACACACATACACACACACACACACACACACACACACACATTAATGCCAACTCTGTAACTGAACATTTTAATTGAATGTGAATCTTTTGATTTTTTAACCTTTGAAGAATGCCATTTATTTACTAAGGCCTTTTACAGTTGACAGTTCTCTTTTGAGTCCTTAATTATGTTCTATGAAGAAAGAGTTCACTAATTTACAATAGTGACAACCACATTTATATTAAATCTGCATGTGTATGGAACTATTAAACAAAACATGGTTTGCTAATAAGTTCAGGATGATACATATGTGATACAATACTGTACATATGTGATTGCCAACATTACTTTGGTTAACAACAGCCCCAACAATGGGGTAAAACTGTTGCCAACCATGTTTGTAGTCTGAGAAGTCAAAATGTTGCTGTGTTGATCTCTCCATGTCAATCATCACAACTTAAATGTAGGACAGGCGATTTCGGAGAGAGGCTAGCGATATAACCTAGCTTTGAAAGCACAAGATCTCACCCTCCCTTTACGAGTCCGACTCTCTAACCATTAGGCCACGACTTCCCAGAAGTAAACACAGAGCGAGCCAGCCAGGAGTCGAACCTAGAATCTTCTGATCCGTAGTCAGACGCGTTATCCATTGCACCACTGGCCCACCGAAATCCTACCCACCGAAGGTAATCACTCTCCAAAGCAACGCCTCCTCCAAAACACATGAACACACACAGGCAGACCAGAGGCTAACCAGCGACACGACGACAGACGGTTTATGGAGGATTGAATGTAACGCTGCCAGATTAACTCATGTCTCATTCAACGGTGAGAAAACATTATAGTACAAAGCACATAATATTACAATAATGACACTTGCATTCTCACTCGGTCTGCAACAGCGTAACGGAGCGCGCTGATGACGTATCATGTCTGCGTGAAGAGAGTGCGCAGAGGTATGCAAATACATACGCTGACAGGCAGGTTGGAGAGCCTATTGTAGCCCTCGGACCGAGGGATATGATTGGATGAACATTTTAATGTCCTATGCCTTCCACAGATGATATAAATACATATAAATTCATTTAGACCACTTAACTTAGTGATTGCTATCGGGATGTGAAGAGACGTTTAACCAGCATTACCTAGCCTGCATTTAAGGGGTAGAACTTGAATGTTTGCACACAAAATGATATATCTTGGAAACATCTCCTCAGATTCAGTTCTATTTTAGTATTATTTAAATACTACTAGAATTTTTATTAGATTTTTAATTAGCTTTTATTGTTATATTATTTTTATTATACATTTAATTTTAGTTTACTTTTTTTGCTTTTCAAACATTACTATTTAGCATTTTACAGTTTTACTTTTTATTTCCAGTTAGTAATTTTAACTTAAACTGAACGACAGTTAAAATGTTGCCTTGCCAACTAACTGAGCTAAGCTTTTCATCTAATATATACATTTTATTTTATTTCAGTTTTATTTCAATTAGCATTTTTTTTATTTACTCAGAGATAAGGATAATAATAAACCTACTCTGCATATCCTGCACATTCTTTCCAAGGTTGTTAGGAAAGAGGGGCTGGAAATTATTTTTAACAAGTCTCTGATCATTCCAGTCTGATCTTAACAGTCTGAGTTGGACTGTGTTGTGAATCTGTCACTGTTTGTTACTGGAATAAAGGGAAGTGCAAACTATTTTAGGCATCAGACAGAACATGGAGCTAATTTATTCATTAGCAAAGACAAAGTTTATATAAAAGTCTTAAAGTCCACTTATTCTGAAGGATCAAAGAGAGGGAGACTAAAATTGAAATTTTAACTCTTTTTCTGTCAAAAGTTCAACGATAGTGAAACCCCCCCCCCCCGCCCCCCCAAAAAAAGTGATATGATGCCTAAAAAGTGCTTTGTAAAATGAAAAAGCTTTGTAATACATGTGAAAATCAGAACAAACTGTCCTTGATGTGTAAGTTCAGTGTGACTTTAACCTGAGATGCTTTTAAACTCTCTCTTAGAAATAGATAGAATAGAGAGATTTTGTTCCAAATCATGTCAAAAGAATGACCTACGTGCGGTAATGTGAGCTGCGGCCAGAATGATAATAGCTGAGATAGCAAACAGAGCAGGACAGGGAACGGGGGTCAGAGCAAGTAAAAAGCAACCTTTTAGTGGTCTCACCTTCTGGGCCACCTGGTTGACCCACGGCGAGGTGCAGTTACTGAGATCAGGGCCGCGAGGACTCCACAGCACAGGAGAGGACAGGCACTGAAAGGATGCGATGCCTGAAAACAGAAGATGAGATATTAGGAGGGACAGACAGAAAGTGACCTTGGGTTTTAAAGTCTTTTGTGTGTGTGTGTGTGTGTGTGTGTGTGTGTGTGTATATATATACAGGGTACGATTTGTGAAAAAAACAAGAGGGGGGGATGTTTTTGAAAACTTTTTATAGGCATATAAAACTCCATAGGCAGAGGCTGACCCGTCTTTTTAGGCAAGTAGATAATAGGTGACATGTCATGAAATGTTTTTAATATGACGGAAACTGTATTTAACGTGATCACAATTTAATAAAACATTGCAAGTTAGGCCTATTAATCGTAATGATTTCATTTCCACAGTTATTCAAACAACGAATAGGTTATATAGAGAAAGTGAGCAAAGAACACAGCATCAACGGAGCTTTTTGAAACTCAGAATCAGTTAAACCATTGCGTCGCAAAACGATTCACTGTTTCAAAACGCTCCAATTGGATTGCGTATCGCGAATCATTTCATTCAGATCAGGACTTCAAAGCGCGTATCGCAAATCATTTGATTAAGATCGGGACATCGGAGCGGGTTCATGGGATGTTTTTCTAAAAATAATTCAGCAGAGGCAGGGATGCCTAGACCAGAGGGGGGAAAATCCCCCCCATCCCA